AGATATGCCTGCCTCTGCCTCAAGTGCTATGACTTATATACACTATCATGCCTAGCTTTATTTTACTTCAAACCATGTGCAAATGTGGATAAGTGGTATGCACACATAAGCGCAGATTTCTGAGGAGGTCAAAGTGAATGTTGGATCCCCTGTAGCTGGAATTACAGGTGCTGTGAGAAGTAAGGCCTGCAAGCTGGGAACCAAGCGCGCTCCTCTACATGAACATGACACACCCTTAATGACAGCTAACTTGTCTATCTCTTATTTGTTTTTTATGTTAAAAAATGTAGCTACTACAAAACTGAAGGCATTATGCTCATATTAGGCAGAATTACTACAGAATATTTTAGGATGACACAGGAGAATATGACTCTGAAGTCAAAAGACAAACAAGAAACCAAGCACTATCAAAAAGGGTTTAGAAAACAGGCTTCTAGCATTTACACAAAAGCATAGGTGTGGCCTGGCATGGTAGCCAGACTCGGTAATGACCTACATCAGGCATAAACAAGATGAGATTCCTTGGTGAATGAATAAAATATAGTAATGACAGTCTAAAAAAATCTGTAGTATGAAGTGATTTAATAACTGTGAGGAATGATGGTAGAGAAGGATCAAATTTGTGAGAACCGGCTAGAGGCCATCCCTAAGCTTATTAGAAACTGGCCTTTGCTGATGATGCTTGACACATAGACACATAGGGAAATCAGTCATTACTGCAAATTTCTTTCCCCCTTCCAACATGCACGCAGTGCCTTAGCCAACCAGTGAAGAGAAACACTGGGAATAACCCAGTGAGCAATATAATCCCAGAAGTAGGAAGGCTGATGCTGGATAACTGCTGTAAATTCAAGGCCAGCTAGGACTACGTAGTGAGACCCTGTCTCAAAAAAACCAGGGGTTGTGGTGGGAGGGAGGGAAGAAGGGGGGAAGAAGATAATATCGATATTATAGCTATAGAACCCCTCAACTTTTACTTGCGCCACCACCACCCAGCTCTATTTTTACTTTTTAAAACTGGGTCTCAAATAGTACACATAGGCTACCCTCAAATTTGTTACATAGATAAGGATGGCCTTGAAGTTCTGAACCTTCCACCTCTGCCTCCAAGTCTGATTTTATTCATTGCTGGGAATCAAGTCAAGTGCTCCATTTATTCTAAGCAAATACTCTAACAACTGAGGACCCTCCCCAAGTCCTCCTCCCAAAAATTCTTTTTTTTTTTGAGATTTTTATTCATTTTATTTTATGTGTAAAAGTGTTTTGACTGAATGTGTATCTGTGTGCCATAGGCCCAAGGAAGCCGTAAGAGGTCACTGGATCTTCTGGGACTGGAGTTACAGATGGTTGTGAGTTGCCATGTGGGAGCTGGGACTGAACCTAGGTGTTCTTAACCATTATTAAGCTTCTCCCCAAAATTAAGGGTAAGAAAGGTAAGGCTTTACAGATTAAGATGATAGACATTTTGCCTAGCATGTACAAGGATCTTTTCGGTAATATTTATTAAGTGTCTCCAATTATTTCTCTTTTTCTTCTCATAGAATTTTGGAACTAAGATCTCAAAAAAGACATTGCTAGAGGTTAGAGAGACGGCTCGGCAGTTAAGAACACTGGCTGCTCTTCCAGAGGATCTGGTTTCAATTTCCAGCACCCACATAGTAGTTCACAACCTTCTGTAACTCCAGTTCCAAGAAAGCCAATGCCCTCTTATGCTCTGCATGCATATGGTACACAAACAAACATGCAAGTAGAATGTCCACATACATAAAATAAAAATAAATTTTAAAAAATCACACAATTTTTTTAAGACTCAAAGCTAGAGAGATGGCTCAGTGGTTAAGAGCACTTGTTGGTCTTGCATATTATCTAGGTTCAATTCCCAGCACCCCACCTGGAAATTCTAATTCCAGGAGATCTGAAGACCTCTTTTGACTCCCTCAGACACCAGGCATGCACATGCTACAGATACATTTAGACAAAACATTCACACACAATAAATAAAGTCCCCTAGAATATTTCTTTGGCCTATTTTTAGTTTGTACTTTACGCCAAGGAACACAAATAAAATTGAGTCTCTCTCTCTCTCTCTCTCACACACACACACACACACACACTCATTTTCTCTCTCTCTCTCTCTCTCTCTCTCTCTCTGAGATAGAATTTCACTCTGTAGACCAGGCTGGCCTCAAACTTACAGAGAACCACTTGCCTCTTTCTTCTGGGTGCTGGGATTAAATGTATTTGCCACCAAAAGTGACTAAAACTGAATTTCGTAAACACTAGATAGTCAGGAATGCTGGTGCACCTTTGTAACTCCTACACTCAGGAGACTGAAGCAGGAAGATTGCAATTACAGCTAGCTCAAGGTTAGGTTAGGCTACATTAGCTGAGTTCCAGGCAAGACTGGCCTACCATAACTAAGCAACCAAGAAAACAGTAAATATACCAGAGACTGGCAGCACAAGCAAATCAATTCGATAAAACTATTTCCAAGACAGGGAAAAAAAAAAATCTAGGATATACAGAAAATTTACACCCTCCCCCTCACCCAGTAGTTATCCAAAAACTTAGGGGGCTGTGAAAGTCTAATAAGAAACAGATACAGTGGGGCTGTAGAAATAACGAAGTGGTTAAGAGCACATACTACTTTTGAAGAATAGCTGTGCTCTATTGTCAGCAACCATGTCAGGCTGCTTACAACTGCATATAACTACAGATCCAGAAAGATCTAATTAATGCCTCTGGCCTCTGAGGGTGTCTGTACTCCCGTGCACAAACTCCCAGAGGTACCTGGTGAATCTCTGAGTTCAAGGTCAGCCTAGTCTTTAGTGAATTCCAGAACAGTCGGACTACACAGAAAAATCCTGTCTTGGTAAACAAAATAAATTAATAAAATTAAAAAGCACACAACAGGAGAAATGGCTCAGCCGTTAAAAGAGCTTACTTGCAGAAGACTCAGGTTTGATTCCCAGCACCCACATCAGGTAGCTCATACCATCTATAAAACCAATTCCAGGGGATAGGATGCCCTCTGCCTCTGCTAGTACCAGCACACACATGGTGCATATAAATTCACACAGGTACACATACAAATACATAAAAATAATAAATATTTTAAAAATTGAGTTTAACCCTCACACTACAATAAAATAAAATAAACCACTATTAAGGTAGAAGCAGAACCAGGGGTTCAAGGTAAGTTTAGGCTATATGATACCGTGTATGTGTTGTGTGCGTGCACGCAAAACACTAAGAACTGGAGAGATGGCTCAGCACTTAAGATTATACAGAGGGGCTGGGTAGTGGTGGCACACACCTTTAATGGGGGGGGGGGGACAGAGGCAGATGTATCTCTGTGAGTACGAGGCCAACCTGTGTACAGAATGAGTTCCAGGACAGCCCTAAAGATACAAGGAGAAACGCTGTTCCGAAAAATAAAAAAATAATAATAATAAAAGAAAAGAAAGAAAAAGTATAGAGCAGTCAGTCCTAGTAGTTTAGGTTACAGTATTTGGGTACACTGTGGATTGAAGGCCACCATGAACTTTTTTAAAATTTATTTTTATTCTATGTGTATGACTTTTTGCCTCCATGTATGTCTGTGAAACATGTATGTGCCTGGTACCTGCAGAAGCCAGAAGAGGGCATTGCATCCCTTGAACTGGAGTTACAGAAGGTAACAAACTGTCATATCTTTGCTGGGAATAGAATTTCCAGGTTCTCTGGGAAGGGAAGTCAGTGCACTCAACCATTGAGACATCTCTCCAGTCTCAACAAGACCTATCTTAAGATCCCATCTCAGAAAGAAAACAAATCCCCCTCCCCCCCAAAAAAATTACCAAGCACAAAGCAGAGACAAATGACTGAAAGATGCAGGCGGCTGAACATGGATACCAACCATGTAACACATACAATCAACATGTAAGTACAACTTAGGTACTTTCACACAAACAGCACAGGTGGTCTTAAATATTTTGCATAGTTGTTGACTGATCAACTTCATGTACCAAATGAGACAGGAAAACACACACTGAGCAAAATCTTGCTTAGGAAAGTAATAATTCACTAACAAAAAGATAATTTTCTCTTGAAAGAATAGTTTTAAGCCCCTGACTTAAAATGATTATAAAAACATCATAAAAGAATTCAAATGATCGAGAATTTATGCATTTACTACACAGTAAGTCAAAGCTAATGGAATGAAGCTTACACTAGCAACATGGGACAAGCACCAATGGGGACTAAGCACTAGCTTTAGCGGAAGCAAAAACGTTTGCAACAGCGGGACACCAACGGCTTGCTCCCGTTCCCTTCAGTCCTTTACCGCTCTCAGCTTGAACTGAGTGAGCCCTCCTCGGAAAACCGAGAAAACGACACTTTGGCTTACGGGGGAAGAGCTCAGAGGTCCTAACACACTGGAACTTCTGGATAAGCGACCGCTTGTCCACTAGCTGAATCAACTGCTCAGAAATGGGACCCACAGCAGAGTGAGCAGGAGAAAACGAACTCCTAAGACGCAATTTAGCGGAGTGGTGAAGCAGAGGCGACCTGACTCTCTCCCGTCACGGCCACACGGTCCCGCCCCCCCGGCTTCCCACCTCCGTCCACCCGCGTCCCTGGAGCAGACGGCAGCTCCTGTCACCTCTGCTGGGAGGACCCCTTCCCGGGAGCGCCGCCCGCCGGGCTCGGCCGGGCTCCATCCCCGGGAGACCGAGCGTGTCCGAGTGGAAGAGTCTTCCAGCAAAGCTGCTAAGGCTGGGAGTCCTGAGGGCCGGGGCCGCACATCCCCGGGATCCCCTCGGGGAGCAGCGCCAGCATTCGGGATCGGGCTCCCCTGCTTCTCGGCGTCTCGCCGTGTCGGACCCGGTCGCCTCGCACCGCGGAGCGCCCCCCGCCGCACCGGGACCGGGGTCCGCCCGAGGGAGAAGGGCGGGCCGGCGGGCGCCCCGCAGCCGGAAGGGGCTTGCCTCGCAAGCAGGCCGGCCTCCGGCCCGGCTCACCTTCAGGTCGTTCTCGGGAAGGTACTTGCACTGCCGCGCTATCTCCACATACTTGTCCAGATCTAGCGGCGCCATTTTAGGAAGAACGAGCCACGGCGAAGGCAGCGGCGGCAGCTGAGGTACCGGAGGCAGCGGCGGAGGCCGAAGCCGGAACCCTCCTTACGTCACGTCCGACCCGTGAGTGGCGTCTGCGCAGCGTCCTCAAAACCTGACTCGCTCCTCTTCCGCACCTCGACACGCCCCGTGCCCTCTCGGACCGAACTCCGGGTCTCTAAGAGAACCCGGGGGGGGGGGGGGGGGGGGGCGGGGGGGGGGGGGGGGGGGTCCTGCTGATGAGCCCTGCTGGGACCTGTAGCTGTGTGCCGCAGGGAGTGCTGGGACTTGTAGTTTTATTAAAAACAAAACGCTCTTCCTATCCTACTCTTCACCTCTGAGAAACCAGTTGAGGCTTTTCCGCGGGAAAATTACGAAGTGGGTAACTAGGTATTTCCTAGCTCTCATTCCTACCCTGTGAAGCACCCTGTCAGCGTCTTCAGTTACAGTTAGGATAACTGTTGCCGACTTGCCAGTGATGACCTGGCCTAGACGTGTGAAACAGATTTAACACCCCCAATTCTCAGGCTTGGAAGAAAAGAAAAAAAATTGAAGCATTTTTTAAGCTAAATTTTATACAAATACTGGCGCGATATTTTTCCTCTTCAATTCTTGTAAAAGCTTGCACGTGTTACTTTCCCCAAATAACAAAGGTGGAGCCTAGACTGGAAAACAGGCTTATTTAAACAGACGTATTTGAACTTGGGAGTCCCACGAGGGGGCAGGAAGGGTTTTTGATATTTTTACTTTGGTTTTTGTCGTATTCCGGTGTCGAGAACAGTTCTTTACACCTAATATAGCTTTAACATTGGTTCATTTGGCAACTGCATATTGAACAGCAACTACGTACGGATACACTTGTAGGGAATTAGAATATCCAGTGACGACAGGAGAGGAAAACCTCGGTCTCTGGGGCTAGAAAGTTTGCTCAGTGATTAAGAGTACTAGCTGCTCTTCCAGAGGAAGTTTCAAGTTCTATTACAGCACCCAAGCTCACCTGTAAGCCAGTTCCAGAGATTCTTATGCCCTCTTCCGGCCTCTGGGGGCACTGGCTGGAATGAACAAGCACACTTGCAGACAAAATATATAAAATAAAACATTAAGAATTAATGTATAAAATCTCTGTCCTCAGCCTGTAATTTACTTCTGCTAGAGATAAACAATAAATACAATAGTTTGCTTATAGTATGTTAGAAAGTGATAGCTGTTAAGGTAAACATCCCAGCAGAGTAAGGAGGATGGGTTGACACAGTAGTAAGAATTAACCAATCGGCCAGCCATAGTGGACCACACATTTGACCTCAGCACTGGAGAGGCAGGAGGATAACTGTGAGTTCTAAAACAGCTTGGTCTAAGTAGTGAGTTGCTGGCTAACCAGGAGACCCCGTGGGAAGTTCTAGGGAAGACAGCTGATGGAGCCAGCATCCCTAAGCATGTCTAGTGCCTTTGAGGAAGAGCCGCACCATAGCACCTGGACATGAGAGGAAAAGGGAAACACTGGTTTATTTTTCTTTTGCTTTAATGGGCAACTACTGTAGGACTTTAAGTAGAGATGAAAAATGATCAAACTTATTTGCTTTGGTTGGTTGGTTTTGTTTAAGCTTTCTTTTTAGCCCCTTTGACTCCCATTTTAAAAACAGAACTCAAACATTCCTACAAGAATTCAGGAATGCGATTTCTATTCTAAAGGGTAAACTATCCTACAAGGTAAACTTATGAGATATTCCAGTTTTTCTTGTTAGTATACCTCTCTAGCATGGCATCTTGAGTAATCCTAGTCAAAAGACCCAGGGCCCAGCAAAGCAGTCTGCAGCTCTCAGCAGTTATTGCCGTCTAAACACAAGTCAAGCACGCAGCAGAGCCAACCTGGCCTTGGTCCTCTCTCCAGAAGGAAAACGAGTGAGTGTACACCTCTAAACTCTTCTTCGGAAGCCACCAGGAGACTTTATTAATTACAGGAACTCATGCAGAGTCCAGGTGTGGGAAACATGGCAAAGTGATGAAGAGAGCTGCAGCCCCCAAATTTTATTTTGTCCATGAATTTTGGTTATATTTTCAAGTAGCTAAATGAGTTATTAAGTTGGATCTCAGGCATTGTGGCTCTTATTGGTAAGTCCCAGCACTTGTGAGGTGGAGGCAGGAGGATCAGGAATTCAAGGTCATAGTTAACTACTAGTGAGTTGGGGACCTTGTCTCAAAATTAAAACCCAAGTTTTCCTTTTAGTTGTATTAGTAGATTCTCCCAACTGCTGTCTGCTGGCGTTGCTATCCCCATTCTACACGTGAGTAAACCAGGGTTCCTAGAGGGGAACAGACTTGGCAGTTGTCAGAGTTCCCTGTTAGGTGCTGGAGTCTGTGTCTGAGGTCACATTTGTCTGCCCTTTACCGGTAAGTGCAGTAGCTTTGCTGTTTCTAGTCTGAGTTCTGACAATAGTTAGTGAGCGTGACAGTGTGGTACTCTGATCACATATATAGGCACAGGTCAGCCATCTTTGTTTTAGGAAAGACAGGGAGCACTTATAGCTAGGACATGGGTCGGAGCTTATGCAGATGAAGTTGTCGACAGAGGGTTTCATTTATAGGCAGAATTATCATGGCTTTTACAGAGAAACCAGCTCGGAGCCTCCAAAGATACCTGACCACAATCCCTATAGAAATCTTAGGATTTCTGTTGCAGAGAGGACA